CCCGTGCGCCATGATTGCTGTGGTGCAGAGAATCTTTAGTATGGTAAGAATATTGTGCTTGCTGCTTTTTCTTTTGTTTGATTTTCGAGACTTTGTAATAATAGGCTGCGTGCACCTTCAAGAGCAGAGGTGGGGAGTATATACTTCTTTCATTATCTCAAAAAAACTGGAATTGTTTGTGGGTTAAAAATTCAGGTACATATTCTGCATCATGGCAAGATCTAAGGGTTTTGTATGATGTATATGTGCATCGCTGTGTGTAGCAAGCAACATATGGTTTCCCCTATCCCTTGGGAAATGAGGATTTGCTATTCATTCATGATATAATTGCCTCCCACCTTTCAGTTCCTGAGTTCTACTGAATTGAGATACTGAGAGCCACCTAGATTGTTTCTACATCTAATTGTCTTAATTTTGCTGTGTGGGCTAGCTATGACAAACCAAATCGACATAACAACAGGGGCTATCCACCGCACGCAGCTACTCCGCCGCTCGAATCAGGGTAACCGCCGCCGCACCTGCACAGCCTCAGGTCAGAAACGAGCACCGCTGCAAACTAGCCTGCGCCCCCTGTCCTCCCCGTCGCCCCTCCGCTCGAATCGGGCAGCCGCATATAGCCCGTGCCTCACCCAGTAACACTCCTCGGCCCTGACAAATCGAGCGGCCGGCGACACGCCACCCCGATCCCCTCTCGTGTCCACTCGCCGGCGGCCGAACCGGAACTATAAACGAAGGGAGGGGCGGATTCGAACCTCATCGTGGTGAGCGCGCGGCCCTGCAACGCCTGATTCCTGTGACCGCCGGTGCGAACGAGCGGAGACACGCGACCGCCGCCATGCGAGCGACGAAGATGACAAACTCGATAGCGAAGGAGAGCGCCGCGGCAGGAATTTCTTTTTTTTTTGCCGGAAACTGCTGGTAGGATTTAACCACTAATAAGCCATGCTCATTTTGCAGGGCTCCTAGTAATTTCCTCCTTAATTTTCACTTTGTTTTCCATATGTACACTGCATAAACTACATAGTACATGACACATTTTGGCGCCACAATTCATCCGTTTAATTCAGCCATATATATACTATAACTCAGCAATATTTCAAACACCATAGTTCCAATTTCGAATTCAAAT